CTGGAGACGGGCAGGGAGGGAGTCGCCCACCTTCCCCCAAGCTGCAAGAAGACCCAAGATGCCCTGTCACACGGCCCATCAGAGCTGAAATGTCAGAGCAATTAGCCCTAACGAGGCCATCGGATGGAGCTGAGCAGCTGGGCGGGCGGGTGCGGGGAGCGTATGGCAGCCCGGACCCAGAGCCGGCGCCCCACGGGTCGATCCGACGCACTCAGGATAATTGGGCACTTGGAAGTCAGACCTGGAGGAGGAGACGTGAGTGGAACAGGACGTCTCCCGCGCCCCGCCCCCTCCTGGGGCCGCCTGGCTCCCTTCCCCTTGCCAAGTCCCGCCAGGCCCTCAGGCCCAATGTCTGTGCCTCCTCCTCCAGGAAGACCTCCTTGCTGGCAACCCACCTTTGTGGGGGTGGGAAAGGGGATCCTGGCTCGGCCCCTGGTCCCATCCACACGGGGACGAGGAGCACCAGCTTCCACTGACACCAGGGATCGGTGCCCTCGAGCCTCTGGAAAAGCTCTCCACGCCTTCCCGAAGGTCCCCCTCCAAGGTCCGTCCCACGGGGGACTGGGGCTGGGGCAGCTCGGGCTGGGCTTCTGCTGGCACGGAAGAGAGGGCACGACCCAGATGTGGTCCAGACCCAGACCCCGCAAGAAGGAGGGAGGCAGTGCCTGCAGGATTTGCGAAGGCCGAGGGGACTGGGCGGTGGTGTTCCTTCCAGGCGACCGAGGGCCCCGTGGGGGCAGAGGCAGGGAGGGGGTGGGGGAGGGGAGGGTCACAGAGGCCTCAGAGTCAGACAGCCTCGGGCGGCAAGGGGTCTCTGCAGCCCCTGATGACCGGCCGTCCCCGTGGGAGGAGGGGCAGTGTCTCCCGACCCGCAGAGCACCCCGACTTTCATGGCACCCCCTTACGCTCACGCGCGTTCGAGGACAGGATGCTGGCCTCACATCGGGCTCCAGCCCCGTCACCTGGAGGTCCAAACGGGACATGAAGATGCAGGGGCCTGGAGACGCTGGCCCCTGGCTGTGCGTGCAGCCTGTGGTCAGGGCTCAGCTGTGCCTTTACTCGTCTGTGTGTCAGTGTGCACACGTG